AAATCCTAACAATCATATGACCCCCTGTGAGTAAGCAATTGGTGACAGTGGGAAGGAGAAACCCACTTAACAGGAAGAAATCTCTGTACACTCTGACATAGTGGTAGGAGAAGCAGCCAGACACAAAAAGGGTAAGCAATGATAGTGAACAGACCAAACTGTTAGTGTCGGGTGCATCAATGAGGTGTGTAATTACATTTCCAGGAAGATTCTCAACAAGTGATGGTGTTAGTGAGTTGCAGTGTACAGATTTACCAGAGTTTGCAGTTACAGTGTAGATTTAACACAGAAATATAAAACCACAGTTAAATGGTAGACGCCAGCTGCTAATAGATTTCTGACTTAATTTAAAGACAGGTCTGCAAACCTGAGAGGTGTACTAAGAAGCAAAGTCAAGGGGGCAACAAGCTAAACTGGTAAATGGACTGATTTCTCTTCCTATCTACAAGATAGTGGAAAACTAACCCATGTCCTGAACAGCCTGTTATGAAAATCGATTCTTTTGAGTACAGGCGACTTCAAATAATAGTGAAGTAAAGATGAGCAAGTCAATCTGCTATTAACATGCTAACAAAATAAACTGAATGTGCTGAACAATGTTTTCTGCATTATATCAGGTTTTGGCATCACATAACTCAGCTGTAACCTCTGTGTCTCAGTACAGACTCTGTTCAGACCTGTAAATCTGAAAGTATTTATAGAATGAAGGTGGAGTTGTGTATGACTTAATCAAATTTGCTAAAGATACTCTACAAATTAAACCAGCTGATTGTGAGGAGTTGAGATGGAAGACACTGAGTCTTGATGGTATGATCCATATCTGATTGGCAGTTAACATCTGCAGCATCCGAATTAGGACATATCACACAGTTGTTTTGTTGTTGCGTGTTAAATGTTAAGCACTTGGACCTACTATCCTCCTCTTTTGTTATACTGTACTTATTTGCTGTCACCTCTACAGTGTCGTGTACTAAGTTTCTGTAGCTAAAATGGGAATGGCTCATGTAACTGTGTCACTCTGCTTGACTTTGCTGCTTGTCAGTGTCTTTGTTTTTGTTTCTGTAGATGGGGTTCTGTTAAAAACCAGA